CAGATCTTTCACATAACTTAACTGTGGGACTGTTGACTGTGTTTGGTTGGGTCCTTCCAATTGGCTTCCCTGACTTGGCTTACCTTGTATAAACAAGTATCAGCTGAAGCGAGGACCGAACCTTACTCTGTCGCCTTGAAGGTCCTCGAATTCTTCTGAGCAATTTTAAAACATGAGTCTATAGCAATATAGCGACCTTTTTAAAGAGTTCTATTTCTTAGTTCTTCCTTTTCCAGCACTGATCCATGTCAGAAGTTCGTTCATGTATGCGTGTGCCAGGTTTTGTCACTTGCACAATTTCCCAAGCCAGGTATTTTGCCCTTTTGTCTTACAGTATGGATTTTCTGGGAAGGAAGAAGAAATGGAGAAGGGAGAGGTCATGAGTGAAACGGCTTGTTTTGTTCTATCATTCTCTGAGTTGATCTTTAGCTGCGTAGCCTCCCACCAACAGATTTCTTGTGTTCAGATAGTGATGACTGCAGTATCCATAACAACGTAATTTGTTAGTTATTTCAGAGGATTTCCATTTTTGCCACGCACATGGGACAAGTGGAAGAATAACCAACATGCTCATGTCTGTGGTGGTCACTGAATTTCAGCATTTTGCACAGGGTTTCTAAGCATCTCTTACCTTTATTGATGCCGCTTCATGCTCCATGGTTTGGACTTCCCATGCTACCTTACTCGCCTTGGTCAGTGTCTACTTCAAAATGAAAGGAGCAGGGATTCTTCTTTTTTAATGTATTGATTCATTTATTTCATTAACTTCCTCAGGGCTGCAGAACTTGGTGCCAGAAACAATTAGAATACAAAGCACATAGACTCAAATCAAAAAACACAGAATTCACCTTGCCCTAGGTCATCTTCCCTTAATATGTAATTTTTTTTACTGTTTGCTTTCCTTAGAACCAGTTTCACTTCTATTTTTGTGTTTGACTGAAGTACAGTGAAGTCACTGAAGTATATAATGCTTGTCAGAAACCCCATCAATAAGTAATTGCAAATAAAAAAGCTCCAATTAGAGTTTTATCTTTTCACCTTCTATTCAAAAGTCAAATTTAACGCTACCTATCAGACTGAAGAATATTACTGGAGAGAAGATGAGAATGTTCATGTGTTAAATTAGGTGCTAAAGGCATCTATTGTACAAACATATTGATATTGGCAAACAGCTTAATTAAACACTTTATGTAGGGACAAAGCACTTTCCTATGTGCATGTTAAATGATGCACACAAAACCCCCCACATCTGCTAGAACATACTCTTTCTTCCTGATGCAAAATATGAAAGAATAAAGAATAGAAAACCAAACATTTTTACTATTTTTTGCCTATGTTCCTGGGTAGAAAACAAATAAACAAACAAAACCACACAACAACCTGAGAGTGAAAAAATACGTGCCAGGAACATGAGACCTATATATGTAGCCTCAAGTTGTGCCAGGGGAGAATCAAGTTGGATGTTGGGAAATACTGCTTCCCTGAAAGAGCGGTCAGGTGCTGGAATGGGCTGCTCAGGGAGGTGGCGGAGTCGTCGACCCTGCAGGTGTTCAAGGAATGTTTAGACGTTGTACTGAGGGACATGGTCTAATGAGAACTACTGGTGACAGGTGGACAGTTGGACTGGATGACCTCAAAGGTCTCTTCCAACCTTGGGGATTCTATGAGTCTATGACAAAAAAGCTAAAGGAACTTTAGCTCTGACTATAATGTTTGCCCAGTGAACCAAAATACACGAGTATACAGTGCCTTTTCATTATTTTATACAAGAATGGACTCTTTTGGAAACACAGTCTTGCTGTCATAAGACAGACTGCCATGCCTCTTCTCTATGCACTGTAAGTATTTTGCAGCTGGTTGGTCAAGAAGCAGGTCTTGATTGAGTTCTCAGACAATAGAAATGCGCTACTCTTAAATCCTCTGGCTACTGACTTCAGGCTGCTTCTCTCTGGAGAAGTCACATAGAAGGTAAAGAACATGCAAGCATGGAATCTGAATGAGCAAGCTAACAGTCATACAGCATTACAAACTAATGCTTCAGAGCTGCCTCACTGTCACCACAAGCTCTGCTCCATCTTCTCTGGAGTAAAAACAACAGCTTAAATATTTTGAACCGCACAAATATAGAAGCCGCAAGAAGTCGCAGTTTGAGCTTGAGATTCCATGTAGAAATTTAAAAAGTAACACAGGAGAACATCATAGTATTTTCTGTATTTTAAATGTATTAAATGTAACGCAAAGAGACAGACAGCAACAGATATGTCAAGATTCAATCAGAACTACTAACCGAACTGATTTTCTCGTGGACTTACAGGCTTTATTCAAGGCCATTTTTTTTTTTCCAGAGGAAAATATTTATTAGGTACAAGTAGTGCTACTGCACTTTTTTTAATTTTTATTTTTTAGTGCAAGAGAGGAGTTAGCTGAGCCACTGAATGCAGGCTTCAATTATACCCACGAGATGCCATCTAGTCACATTTCCATGGATCAGACTACGTTCAGATTTGGACTATATTCTGACTAACTATTTACTATTTCTGTTCTAAAGACACAAAACAATTGTTGATAAGCTTACAGGGTAAGAAATAACTTCAAGGAGCCATTAATAAAGTAATAGAATTTGCATATTCTTCACCAATATGCATGAGAAAAATAAATAAAAACGTGCAAGAATTCTTCCACTAAAGAGACTGAAGAAAAGATGTTTTGGGCACTCTGTGATTCACTGCATTGTGCATATGAGTAGAACCTATTGAAGGTGAAAAGAACTGGGTGACATAAAGAATTCAGTGGAATGCAGAGACTGGAAAGGCTTGTCACATTTGTTCACCAGTGTATATATAACGCAATGACCCAAGAGTATGTCAAAATGTCTTCCAAAGCAATGCGTACAGAGGGGACAGATAATTAAGCAGTAACTGTTGTTTTGTGAAGCAGACAGGACAGCATTTCCTCCTCTACCTTTCATGCTATCAACAACAAAAAACCCCAAAATAGAGTGCTCCCCTGAGATCTGAAAGCAGAACATCACATTTGGCAGTTTCACGTGAAGTGCAAGAATGGTTTTGTTACAGCAGTCAGAATTCCCTCATACTCATTACTCAGCAATTTCCAGAAATGCTTTAAATGTTATGCAACAAATTAAAAGTGAAAAATAAGACGACCTGTGCTGAAAGTATAAGCAATTTTTTCCCCCTTCAGAACTGTGTATTAGAAACATTTCAGCTGATACAAGTAGAGGCAAGCATACTGTTAACAGAAGCAAGAAAACACATGTTTTTGGCACGTCATAAAATTCACCCACGTGCACTGGTATGTGCACAGCTCTGGGAGGCACACAGTGTATTTGTTTGTGCCTTCTGACATCTCTATTACAATTCATGTCAGTATCAGTAGCTTTCTGAGAAATTATGAGACTCGCAAGATTTTGAGTTAATTCTGATAAATGAGATAGACTTTGTGAGCTCTCTGATATGATGGGCAATTCACTAAGTGTCTTGAAATATATACTGCACTTTTTGCAAAGTCACATCTGAATGTTAGATAATGTTGAGTTTCCAAGTGTACATTTATGTTATGGGTTCTTATCTACATCATTTGAAGGAAGAGAAATACATAAAATTCCAGGCTATTATGGTCTGAGCCCTACACTATTCGATTTTGCCAGTTTTGTTTCATGTTGGGTGTTCACTGCCTCTGCCTTGCAAAAGTTGTCATCAAGCATCAAGCAAGGACTTGTCAGCACCATGTGGGTGCTGAGAAAGGCTTTCAAGAGCTGAGCTGGGGATGTGGTGTCACATTGTCCATTACCTGACACTGGAAGGGCCACCTTCATCACGGCCTTGGTGGGGATGCTAAGGGAAGAAATCATTGCAGTGAAGGTGCAACACACTCCTCATAAAGCAACTTATTTTCTAGAGACATTAGTTGCTCAGCACTGCAAGATGCGGAAAGGGCTTTAGAAAAAAGCACAAAAGACTGTAGAAAAATGACAATGCTCTCTACTGGTGTAAATAGAGCTAACATAAGTTGGTCTAACACGGGTGACTGCTGGCAGCTACTGAGCAAACTTAAAACGATGCTACTCCTATACAGCAGGCTGCGTGTGCAAGAAGTGAACATACTGTACAACCATGGAAGTCTGAATTAGCAATCGAACCATGCCAACCATCAAATCTGAAGTGGCTGTCCTACAGGAGGCAAGCTGTACCTTTATGTTACACATGGCATCAGACCACAGAACCGACTGCAGAGATGGAAGCACTGGTGGGCTACCATAAAGGAGCTTTGTGCACCACACCAGGTAGAGAGGACAGCATAGAATTGTTCTCTCTTTGAGACGATAATAAATTAATTGGCACGCAGCACTGTATCTACGTGCGGGTAAAATCTCATCAATGTCTACAAGAGATATTCTTAATTAAGAACAAGAATAGCGCCTGAGGCAACCAGGATGGTGACACTATTTGAGCAAAAACCAAAAGCGACAGATAAATACACTTAAAGTAGGCGTTTGGGTTTTAAAAACAAACCTCTCGCGTGTAAGAAAACATCCCAACTTATCAGTTACGCAGAAGCAGCAAAGCATCGGGAGGGGAATACATTTAAACCCTAAGGAGGGCACTCCAGCCTTTCAGCCGCGCCGCGGGGGAGGACAGTGGCTGAAATTAAATTAATGTCGCTTAAAGAAAAAAAAGCGGGCTCAGAGCTGGGGGCTGAGGCGGCGGGGGGCTGAGGCGGCTGGGGAGCGCGCCCGCCTTCCCGCCCTGCCGTCCCTCCCCTCAGCCCCGCTGCACGCGCAGCCTCTTCAGCGATCGCGGCGCCGCTTTGCGGCGACCTCACTGCAGGCCTCGTTTCCACTCTATCTTTTAATGCCGCCGCATTTGCGGCTGCTGACCGCCCCTCCCCTAAAGCCATGATCTGATTACGGCTGTAGGTCGTTAGGGCAGCCCTCTGCCCTCCACCCTCCCCACGCGCCCAGCCCCGGTCCCCTCCGCGGGAGCGCGCGGTGGTGCCGTGACGCCAGTTGCCGTGGTGAGGCGTGCGCGCACCACCGCCCGACCCCCATCCCCAAACCCGGCGCCGCTCTGGGAGGCCCGGCCATGGCGGCGGAGGAGGAGGAGGCCGACGTGGAGTGGGTGGTAGACAGCATCGCCGGGTTCCTCCGCGGGCCCGCCTGGTCCGTCCCCGTGTTGGAGTTCATGGAGCAGAAATGCGAGGGTGAGCGGCGGGGCGCTGAGGCCCTTCCTGGCGGAGGAGCCGGGTTGGCGGGCGGGCTGGACGGGCGACCCCGCTTCGGTGCGGGTTTGTGAGGTAGGCCGGCACGGGACCCCAGCGCTGAGGGGTTGAAGGCATCGCTCTGTGGTACGAGGAATAAAATGTGGTCCTTCCGGGTCGCACCCGAGGAGCTGCCGTGCTTAAGCAGCGGCTCGCTCCAGTCAGCTGTGTCTAAGAACGGGGCGTTTTTAACCAGGAGAACGATATGAAGGAAAACTAACACATATTAAGAGGTTGGGAAAGCTGTTGGAGGTTTGGGTTAACGGGCCGTTCTTTGTCACCCCAAAGCCTCAGCATCCTGGGTGGGATGGGGAGGGCTGGGTGAAATACCTGCTCAAGCAGGTGTCAGATGAGTGTGGAAAACCCCCAGTGATGGTGAAGGTATGTTATAAAATAAAAACCCAGTTACAGTCACCTATCCTGAGTTACTCAGCGTGCAATAAAAGGAATGCTTTGATTGAGGAGAATCCTTTAAGCCATCATCGATGCATTTTAACACTGAAACACTGATATTATGACACAAAGGCTTCCCGGCGCTGTCACCTTGTGCTGTGCAGCAGCTCGTGTCGAGGGCTGCTATGAATCTGGAAATTGTTTCCACCCTTCGTGACCTCTGAAGATCACTGTGGGCGCTCACACCTTTCCCTGATACACTGGTAAATGAGAAGGTTGGGTAAAGTTACCAGTCTGCCACATGGAAGCAACAGAAAAAGTGTGGCTAGAGCTTTTGCCTCAGTGTCTGCTCAGACTTCTTGACATTGAGGCGTTTTGATTGCCGTGAAGTGGGTGGGATAGGTGGGAGCTGCCTCTCTTGTTTTAGGAATCAGGGTGTGCATTATCCCTCTCTGTAGCAGTGATCTCTCCTTAGAAGGTTGAGTGGAATTTACTGGCAGTAAGAAGATTTATGGAACCTCTGTACATTTCCATGAAGCGGGCTTATATAATGGCCCCCTGCCAGTTTGTTGCTGTGTAAGAAATTAGAGGAGCAAAGTAGAGAAATGGGAGCAAGTGGTCTTCCAGGGTTTCTTTGGACAACTCCCAGCAGCTATTGAGAAAAAAGAAAAGGCTGAGGAAGTGTTGCTGCAGTGTTAGGGTTGCTAAGAAGCACAGTTGAAGAAATGCAAACTTTTAATTGCAGTTCAGCGCTTGTTTGCGTTTCCTTTCAATAAATGTGCTAATTCTACCACTGTTACTGAAGTGTTTTGTTGGGGCAGAATTCTTTTTGTTCTCAAAATGTCCAAAGCCTTCGGACTGAAGAAAAAAAAAAAAAGGCATCATTTCAATTAAGTGTCAATTTCTGATTAGTCAAAACTAGAGTTCAAGCTTTAGTAATGGGTGTGCAATTATTTTGCATATTTAGTTGCATATTACTAAATTTTGCATGTTTATTTAACATTGCATTTAGTAGGAGTGATCCTACTGTTGTTGTATCTGTTGCTAATTGCTTGTTTTCTCTTTCCCTCTTTCTGGGGACTTGACTAATTTCTCATGGCTTCATTAATTTCCGTTTCTGTGGCTTCAGAACTCAAGCTCAGCCTGTGGGCATGCCTTAAAGGGTGGGGGCTTTTCTGTTTTACTCAGATATTCTAAGGTATAAGTTGAAATATTGCTTTGTAAATAGATGAGCTTGACAATGATGTTGAAGACTGGAGGGTAAAGACAGGGTACAAAAAGCAGCAGCAGGTGACTGACTCCCGGTTGGGGGTGGGACTGGGGGTAGGAACAGAGGAGATCCTGTACTTACTGGGTCTGTGACTGCAGATGAGTCAGCTCAGTCCCAGCAGGGAGGACTCAAACTTCACATAGCTGTCACCCTGTTTGAGGAATTTGCTAGCAGTGGTTTTCAATGTTAGCAGGAAAATGCTGAGTTTGTCTCCCAAGGACATCTGGGTCTCCCATCTTGTCCTGGTGTATTGGGTTCTTCAGGTCTTTCCTGTTCGGTGACCAAAGACTCAGAGCCAAAACCTAGAGGAAAAAGATCATAACATGATTTAGAAGACATAACTTGAGAAAATCCAGGATCCCCATTCAGACACAGTATTCCTTAATGCAGTTTAACACAGGAGGATGTTGACCTCACTTGGTTTATCTGACATTTCACTTCATCATTTTTGTTCAGACTCTGAAAGCAGCAGTTTGTGGAAGCTTTCCATTCTGCTTTCCATGTTGTCCTGGAACTGTGCAAGGAGGAGGACCTGGAGTCCCTTTGGTCCTTTTGCCAGCCCTCCTGGGGTATTCAGAGGGGTAAGGAACAGGAGGGGGTAGAAGGGCAGGGAGACATAAAGACAAAGGTTAGGGTCTGCATAGGGTATCACAGAGATCCCCAGAGGGAAGGAGATGCAGAAGACAATAGAGGCAGTGAAGAATCTTCACCATCTTGGGTTTGTAATGTGGTGGTTAACATAGAAGCTGTTTTGTTTTAAGAGTAGGATTTATAGTACTATTTTTGTGAAACAAGCATTTTCTACCATTTGTATGTATTGCTGTATACTTGTAAAACCTTTTTTTTTTGTAATGAAATGATATGGAAAAAAACATTTTCCTAGGTGGAGAAATGAAACAAAAGCAATTGCTGGCTTTCCAAATTCTATCTATTGAAAAGCAAGCTTCCTTGTGTTATTTAGAGGGCCAGAACTGCTTGATTAGATGTTTGTATTTGCTGTAGGTTGTAATGAATTAATGCTAGCTGTTAGGAACGACCTGTCTGGGTTCTAACTGACGTTGCCTCAGTGTTGTTGCAGCTGGAAAATGATCTTTCCAAGAGTCACTCTGAATTACTGGGAGGGTTGCACTAGTTCTGTCACACAAATACCATCACCATTGCGGATGGCACATGAAAAAAAAATCGCACCCACTCACCAGTTTGTGAGCAGAATTCCTATTCTTCAGATGACTTCAAAGCATGCAAATGGGCAGTGACTTGTCCAAGGTGGAGTGGCTAATCTTGAGGGGAACTGACGATGTCTTACTAATAAGCCTCTGCTTTAATTGCTGGGTTTTGCATGACTTCTGTTCGTTGCTGACATGATAAAAATGCAAATTGTAAGTGTGAGTGTAAAAGCCCCAGTCTTCCATTTCTCTTGCTTTCTGCTGCTTCTATTCTGTGCTACAGAAATCATTAGCTTGGTATTTTCAGTCAAGAGTTGTTAATGTGAGTCTGCATGGATAATAATGGCACCTGCTGCATGGACTCCCGTTTTGTCTGGACCGTGGTAAATAAAATGTTAGCAAGTAACAGTAAATGACCAGCACCAGATCTTCTCTTTGGGACTCTCTCTCAATTGTTTTGCAAGCACGATCTCTCTTTCCTGCATCGCACTGGCTTCTTGTTAGTGAACAGCATTTAAAATAAAAGTTCAAGTCATTAGCACAGCCTTCATTTAAATGTATGCAGAGACAAATAACCTGATTCAGTGTCATCTTCCGTATTAGAACAACCTCATGCAAGTTCACATGGTAGTTCTTACATTAAATCTTACTTCTTAATGCATCTATCTGCCGAATCCTCGTCTTGCTTAGGAATCTCTTCTGTGGTGAAAGTGCATTTTTCTAGTATTAAATTAGCAGTGTTACGATAAATTGCCACAAGTACGTGGGTAGCCTGAATGTGTGGAAAAAATAGGTTTTTATTACTGATCATGTCTTGTCACATGATGAAAAGTATTAACTTGTAAAGGTCGGTCTTACTCTAAATGGAAAGTTAATTTGTGGCACTGGTATTGGAAGTACAGGTACGTGAAACACTGACTCAGAGATGTGTGTTTTCCAGTTTTTGATGATGAAGAGGAAAGCAAGTTGTCCTACACAGAAATTTATCAGGAATACCAAGCACTGGTGAGTGTTATTCACTGCTGGGGTGGAATTCTAAGAAATAATGTGCACTGTTGAAGTAGTATGTGGATGAACTTCTAGTTGTGCTGTATTTGTTATTCGGAATTTACTAATGCTGCGTGCCATGAGTGTTATTTAGGTATTCTTTGAGTCATGCTCATCTGTGCGTTTTGAGGCATAAGCACAGATATACAGAAATGTTATTTTTTCTTACACAGCCTTACCTATTTGTCCTTAATGTGAGTGCAGTGGCTAGCTAGAATGTGTTATGAGCTGGAGAGCCTTCACATGTTGTGGAAAGTTAAGGACAAACAGCACAATGTTAGAAAACTTGTTTCCTTATGAGATTGGTAAACCTACTGAATTATTTCAAGTATCAGAATAAAATACAGAATGTTTTTGGAGCGTGCTGAAAATACTTACAATCAATGCACACAGTTTTCTAAAACGTTTCCTTATAACAAGGCTTGGTAGTTCTTGATGTCAAGAACCATGAGTGGAGTGAGTATAGGCCAGCAGTGATTTCTGCTGTGATCCTGAAGATGGATCCTTGGATGCACAGACTGGCCAAAAAATCCTTTTACTTAATAAGTACAAATGGTGAGGAATATCAGCTGGGAGTCTGGAGAGAAGGTAGAGAGGTGAGGTCCCTGGAGGCTGGAGAGGTTCAGTTAAGCAGTGACCAGTTTCAGCAAAAAAAATCGGCACTGATTTAGGACGGCTTATAAAAGCAAATAGGCCAGGAGTATCAGAGAAAGCAGTGATGTTATTGCAGTGATTTCTCTGGGAGTTTTAAAAAAACACAACAGCAGCAAGAAAAAAGATAGAGCTATGGGCAAAAAACACCACGATTCTTAGGGGAAAATCTCCTAGAAAGTAAGGCTTATATTTCTTACAGGTCGAAAAATTATTAGAAGGCTATCTTACAGAAGTTGGCATTACTGAAGAGAAATTTCAGGAAGCTTTTTCATCTCCTCTTGCAAAGACTCACACTTCGCAGGTATATTTTCCTTTGCTAAGGAATGCATAGATTTAATGTTTTAGCTTTGTCTTTCCACAGATGCACATTTGAACATGCAAACATGCATGTTGGAAAAGCTTTCTTTTTAAAACTTCAACGTTCTATAAAACCTAATATGCCTGTTTATATTGTGAACTTTGAGCAGCAAAACGTGCATCTTTGAAACAGCAGCAGGCACTTGTGTGCTGTCACTCTTTTGAGATTTCTCTTCCATGCTTTATACTTTCTAAACCAAACCTCTAAGCTTAAAGGCATGTCTGCCACCTACCTTTATGTGCAGATTTGTCAGCTTTATGGTGGCATTCAGTCCATTTGTAGTAGCAGAAAAACTTGAAGATTAAGAAAAACAGACACAAAAGCAAAAGGTGTTTTCCCCCAATTTTGTAATAAAACAGTAAAATCTGTAAGACAGAGATTGCCCTGGGGAGACAAGGCTTGATTCTGTACTGCTTCACCTGCTGGAAGCTATCTTTAGGAATTGTCTCAGGTATGCGGGGCAGAGAAGTGGGAGCTCCTCCTGCCAGTGAAGTGCCTTGTTGAAATGTCTCCTCCAGCAAGGTTTGTCAGGGCGCACATTCCTTTCTCAAGCTTACAGATTTGTTCAAGAAATCCAACAAATTGTGGTTGTAAACTTACACTGGGAAACCTTCCGGGCTTTATGATAATATGTAGCCATCATGATCCAAGGGCAATAAACCATCAAATTCTTTTCTTGCCTACCAGCTCAACTTATATAGCTAGAAAAAGCAGACAGATAAAAGGATGAAATAGAGTTATTAACAACAAGTTCCACAGAATGTAAATTTTAATATAATTTCAAGCAAACTGAAAAGGTTTTGATTTCTGTATTTTAATTAATTTGCATATGCCTTCCTCCCACAGGCCATTTTGCAGACAGTGCTGGCAGCAGAAGATTTTAGACTATTTAAAAAAATGATGGTACAGAAAAATATGGAAATGCAATTGCAAGCCATAAGAGTCATGAAAGAAAGAAATGGTAAGAAGTAGAAAAGAAAACAAAAAACCCTCACATTTACTTTTTTTAAGACTGTGTAATCCAGTTATAAATGAAAACAGAGTGCTGGAGTTGAAGTTAAGGGAAAACACTGAGCTGGTTTTACTGAGACCAGGATTTTAGTTCTTGGATTATATTCTCAGACACAGAAGTTTATTTTCCTTTTTCAAGTAACAGATGGCGAACTCTATAAGATTTTGGGTGAAACTTGATCTGTTTTTTGCTAGAGAATTTTGCTGAGTGTTAATTGCATCATTTCATCAGTAGTGATAGTGCTCTGTTGCAGAGCTCAGTGCAGTCTGTCATGCCTGCCCTACAGTTCACACTGCATTTGCACATGAAAAAATCTATGGACAGAGCAGAAGTTTGGCCTTCATCATTGTAATAGATAAGTGCTGTAAAAGAAGAACTTTACACCCAACTCTACTGCTCTGCTGATGTTCCTAGAAGTTTTTTTATCTTCTCCCTCTTTTCATCCATGTCTTCTGTGTTACTCCTTTGTTTTGTCTCACTGGGTGCGTGTTTTTTTTCCAGAGAATACTTAAGTTTAATGCAACACCTAGATTAGAAAATGGTTTAATTAACCATGGTTGGTTTGTAGTCTGCAGGAAATAGCATATAATGATCAGTGCAGACTGTGCTGTATGTTCTTCCCTCAGATAGCAAAGCCTTTTTTATGTCAGAGACTTTTGCCTTTTTGCTACTTGCAACAAGGATCTAGAATCATTTTGTAAACAATTTACAGCAAGGAAGGATTAGGTATATTTTTTTCTTTCTCTCCTTTATCTCAACAAGATTTATTTCTCATCTTTGTCTGAACACTGATGCCAGTGGAGTTCGAAATAACTTTCTTTAGAGTAAAGCATGCTTTTTGCATACTTTTATTTTTTGGTAGGTGTGTTGCCTGACTGTTTGACAGAGGGTTCCGATGTATTCAGTGAAATTGAAGAAGAAGAAATGAAAATACTCAGGGAGGTTCTAAGGTAAAATAAGAAATCAGTCCTACTTTCCACCTTCCTTTAAAATAAAAGGATATAGGACCTATATAGCCTTTATAATGAAGGATATAGACCTTCTAGCCTTTTCTGGGAAACTGCTTTCAGATGGCACGAGAAAAATGAATTGTGCTAGACAGTGGATGTGATCAAGGCTATCTAAAGACATGAGAATTACCACTCTGCCATGGTGGAACCATCTTGGTGATTCATGAAATGATGTGCAGCCTTAAAAGCCCCACTGGTTCCATTGTCCTCTGAATCTCAAGACAGAGCTGTGTCCAGTGACTTTGGACAAAGGAAGCTGTAAGCTGTTCTGTGAGCACTCTTAACCCAGGAGTGAAGATATACGATCAACTCTGCTTAAAGCAGCTTTGCTACTCCTTAACGAGGATACCATACTTTGTTCTATGTCCTTCAAAGCCTTGGAAAGGCAAATTGTGCTTCTGCAGTAGTCCTTACTCATTTCCACAGCCTCCTCCTTAGTTGTGTTCAGCGTGTCCTGCTGTCATCTAAGATGCATGTGACTGATACAACTTCCATAGATTCTCCTCCACTCCCAGTTCACCCATATAGAAAGAATCATAAACAAATAATAACATATTAATCCATTTGGGTTATATTATTATATTTACCCTCTGTGTTTCTACCTTTAGCAACTCAATCAGTGGATAGATAGATAAGCCCTGGAAATTCATATACAATTATTTTAGTTCAGGGAGAGATAGAGGACTGAGTTCTGCATGTCTATCATGATTTTCTCTTTCAAGAATGCATTTTCATTTAAGTCATGAAATACGTAGGCTGCTCTGGAAGAAATGCCTGCTGTGTTATGATGCTGGCCTACAACATCACAGGCAGATGGTGGTAGTACAGCAGTAGAGGTTGAACCTTCCCAGCAATATCCAGTTATATTTTGTTGCTGAGTGACAGATGGCAGCAGAGGGGCACTCTGGCAAGATGGCGTTTGATACAGAAGCACATATGAAGCCAAGGTGCATCCTTGGATTCCTTTATGCAGAAAAAAAAATTGCTTCCACTGAAACTTGTAGATGCTGGCTGAATGTGTATGGAGAGCAGGCACTAGATATTAGCACAGTGAGTTGCTTGATGATCAGCAGTGGTGACAGCAGTGTGGAAGGCAAGCCGTGTTCTGGACAGTCATGAAGTCTTCTAGGAGCACTGAACACAAGCTCTTTTTCATTGCTGCTGAAAATGCTTGCTTAGTGGTGATTGCATTGAAAAATAACGTTTTGTAGCTGAGAATTTACCAAATTGTGCTGTTGTGCTCCGTTGTATCTGCTGTCATTTCTGTGGAAATAAATAGGAGACACTGCCTATGTATTTTGGACACTTGCTCACATATCCAACAATTGATTTGATAGTCCCCAGCTATTTAAGCAATGCTGAATTTACGTAGAAGTCATTGGTAGCAAAGAAGTCTCGACTTACATCTTGTGTTACAGGAAATCTAAGGAAGAATATGAAATAGAGCAAGAAAGGAGACGGATGGAAGAAGTGAGTATCTTATCTTTCTAGATGGTTTATGCTGAGGATTGAGAAACGCTTTGAATATTCTCGTCCCAGGCATCAACTGTATCACTCCAAGGCAGCACATGCCACCCTAAGCAAATAAAAGCTCTGTCAATAAGGTCTTCATTTTGAAGGGGCTGTTCTGTTGTCTACATTTTTCTTGATGGTATCGTTGACATTAATGCCACGTATAATACCAGTATTCACCAGTCATCTGGTGCAGCTCATAAGCATATTCCTTTAGTACCTGAATTGTAAGATTCTGGCAACGGGTGTCAGCCTTTCAGATTTAGAGAACATCTGAATTACCAATTCTGTCAAGATCAAAGAAACTTCAAAGCATAAGCTTCTTAGTGACTGCAGCATTCTTAATCTCTCAGGAATGTTAAGGATTGCTTCGTAGACACTGTAGTTACTCATTAAGTCAGCCCAGCGCTGCCAGAACCTAATCACCAGGAACTAGAAATCCCTTCCAAGCGAAACCATCGCTCAGGTAACTGAATGTAAGTGGGGACTGGCTGAACTGCCAGTCATGAAGCAACTGAGAAGCAGATTGAAGTCTGAGGAAGGCTTCTCTGAGGAGGCAGCAGCAGCTACAATGACTGTAGTTTCTACAGTGAAAATGCGTCAGTAAATCTCCTCTTCAACAGGAAAATATATTTCAAGTATACAGAAAAGCTCAAATTGTAGGCCGTTTAAAAAGGGAGCAAAATGGCTTCTCTGTTCTTTTCCATCATAGGAAATTGAGCCTAGTAAATTTGAAAAGAGAAAGCATTGTGTGTTTCTTCAGCCTGATTGACAGAGGAAACTACCTGGAGGCCAAATAATAACTACTGCAGAGGTCTCCACTTTATTTCCAAGCTTGTTCCTTAGGTCAGACCATGATACATGCAGATGATAGTCACATTACTGAAATTCTACCAAAGTAACCTCTGCTGTCCTCTGACACTGCAGAAAAAGGGTAAAAAAACATTGTTTCCTATGTTACAGTGATGCATTCCAGGAAATGAGTCACCTGTTCTACGAAACCTAGAAGCTCTCTGTCTCATTTTAACAAATGATATTCTAAGGTACAGGCTTATCCAAATCCTTACAGGCCAGCCAAGAATATCAGTATTCTTGATAAACGTGCCAGATTACAGCAGTGTCTCATTTTTCAGCCTAGCCACTGAACTGTTTCTTCTTGGAATAGAAATGCATGCATGGAGCTGTACCTCATGAACTGCACTTGAGAGCTTACGATATCTAATTCCATTTAGTGGTTCTTTTTGAAGACATGTAATTCTGTCAGCCAAACTACTTACTTATTGAAAGACTCTTCTGCATATTTCATAAAGATAAAACTTGGTACTTCAGCTCTATTTGCTCTAAGATGGAATTCTTAAACCTTCTTATCCATAGAAAACTGTAGCAAAGAGCACGTGGAAAATACTATTTCAGCTTACCTTAGCATGACTGATCCCATTGGGATGCCTTCTGCCGCTTCCTTTCAGTCACAGGACCAGACCATAAGAGTTTAATAATGCAGAACTTATTTGGAAGGCATTGGCAGGAAGTCTGGCTACAGAATTAATAGAAATTCACTCAGTTTAACTCAACAGAAAAGCACGAATCAGAGGGCTGATGAAGAGTAGAGACATTTTCTGGGCAATTTCCAGCTTTTTCAGGGGTGGATTGCATTGTCAAGATTTCTCAGATAAGCATAGAGGTAAAGCAGCATCAGAAATCATCCAACCTGTTACTTCCATTCAGGTGATTATTTGTTTATTTCTAACTTCAGTGCATGCTCCTAAGTCCTCTTACTATACGACATGTTTTTATGGTAGGTGGAGGTCTGTTGGAAAGTCACAAGCAAAGCACAGTATAAAAAACCCCTAAGTCACCCATTTGTAGCTGGGAAACAAAAATGTCAATTTATCTAATGTTTTCAATTTGACTGTTGGTTAGAGAGTAAGTTTTGAACTAAAATAAACAGAGAAGCTCATAACTATAAGCCAGTACAAACATTCCTACCAGTAAAACAAAATAAGCAGTTTGCTTTGTTCACTTTGACAATGCAATATAGGTAGTGTAAACAACACCATTTTAATTAGGAGTTTTCAAGAGTTTCCTGTGTATTGGAAGTTTAATGCCTGGGATACAGTGGTGGGAACTGTAACGCTTGGTTTTGTTTGCTGTTTTAATTCAAGGCACGTGCTAAATGCAAATCACCAGCTGTGACCAGTTCTCCAGGAGATTCAAGAGAAACTGTAAAAGTTAAGGAGTCTACTGAGGGAGCTGATGGTTCTGAAGATACTCCAAAGTTATCATTAGGTAATTTTATGAGAAAGCTCAATACTAGATGTGCAACACACACACGTGATCCTCAAGAACAAGCATTGTATCTCAGTGGAATTTATTCTTAAAGAGAGTTTGTGAAAAATTTGTAGTTTGATATTCTGAGATCACTTTCAATAATACAGTTCCAACTTTAGCAAGTCTGCACTGTCCTTAGTTATTTTTCCATGGGTCCATTATTCATCTTTGTATGCATTCACACTAAGCTCTCATATCACAAACACTTGAGCTGGATACTTTTAGCCTTTTTAGTACCTGTGGGGCATCCTTGGGCACTTCCTGTTTTGTGGCCATTAATACATGAAGTGGTTGTAGGACCCTCTGTTCTTTAAAACTGACTTAGTGTCCTTCATGTTAGGAAATATAAAAGAAAAGAGTGTCACCTTATAAAATATCTTTTTCCCTCATCTTTTCTGCCTTCTTGGAAAGTTTTGTTACAGTTGTTTAAACTCTGATTCTCTGCTTTCCACTCTTGGAAGAATGCAGGGGGCCTGCAGGTGTACTTGTATTCTTCTCTTAGCCTGATTTGATTCCTCTTATTTTTGCATAGTTATGCCACCTTTCAACAGCACCGTTAGATTACTCATCTGCAGAACTTAATCTGTATTTGAGAGATGGGTGATCTTGGAGCCTGGGATCAGAACTTGTTTGCTGTTCTTGTGCCTGTTCAGCTGAAGCTGAGCATTTCTATGCTCCTTAAACACCAGAGAAATTGACAGACAGCTCTTTGAGAATCTTCTTGCTTTGTAGAGCTGGCATCATGCAACACATACCTGTTCCAAGAGGCTACTAAGAAAGCTTGTCTCAGCTTATCCTCCAGTATAACCTTAGAAAAGTGGTTTCAGTTGGTGGTGAGGGCTAAAATAAAAATCAAGGAGTGTGCATACTGTGAATCTTCTTCCAGACTACTCTCATACAGAGACTACTTTTCAGTCTCTTAATACGTGCTCACTCCAGAGCACGGGCTCCCATCTAAAGCTCCATCTTGGATAATGGGGTCATAACTGCAGCTTGAGTCTCTTCTGCATAGTACCACATGCAGCGCTGGGAAGGAGCACAGCACTCTGTGCCTCTGTCTTTCTTCTCTGTGTGGTTTGGTCCCAGACCCTCGCTGCCCACCACACCTGTTCTCAGATCCTGGCTGTATTCTCACTTGAAGAGTCACCTTAGCACAGAACAGAGTAGCTTGCCTTTCCTACCTGAGAAGAGGAAGTATCCCATACCAAGGGAGCATCAACTTGGCAATGTGACCCCTTGCACAAAACAGTCCTCAGTCAGGGAAATACAGCACCCCCACCTTTTGTCAGGCACGTATTTCTTCTCTTTCAGCCATGTGCCTTTTCATCATCTTTTGCAGTTTCACTTCAAGATCCCAAACTTCATTTGGTGGACCTCTAAAAGTTTTCTACTATATAATGAATTTGAAGCTAATGGCAGTTGCTTTAGTTTTCTTAGTTTCAGTTTGGTGAACCCTGTTAGTGGTTCACAAATGAAATTGCAAAACCATTCATCCTGTGCACTGACCACCCAACTTCTTGCACCGCTAGGAGATAGAAAGGAGAGTTTCATAGTAACAGTCACACACAGCACCTTCCTACCATTCCTCAAGAACACCCTCTTCCTGGATACCTACCAGTTGTGTTTGCACCCAGCACAGATAAGGATGCAGCACCTGCTAGAGCGGCCCTGGGTTGCCTTTTGAGAAGACTGAAGTATTTGCCCACATCAAAAAGTGTTGCTTAGCTTAGTCACCCACAGTATGAGTGTACATACAGACAAATTCTCAGAGGAAAAAACAGGTTATATGCCAGTGCAATTACAGTGCTTTGAGACGTTGTCTCCTTGTATGTCTGCCATCGACCCTCCTTCCCTTGTCTCCTTAGTGTCTTTTCAGGTTCGTGGGTTAAGTGAAACTGAGGGTCCTATGATCACATCCTACAGGTACTGCTAGGACACAAACATCTACAGCTCGAGTGTTTGTAATATGGACAGCAACAGTGTAAATGCACACACACAGCACATTTCAAAGGACCACTTCCTGGTAAGTGGTTTCCCTTGTTCATAGTGTTGGTTCTGGTGTTCGGCATGCACTGTGTGTTCTTTAGGTCTTTTTTTCCTCTGCTTTTTAAAGAAGGCAGCTCTGGTGTGAAGATTTTTTCCTAGCACTTTTAGCTCTCGTGGTACCTCTAAGCAGTTTATCAAAAAAGATGGACATATTTCACTGAAACACAAATTCTTCATCTTTATTCTACATTTCTTACTTTGTTTTCTGTGCTTTGAGCATTTTCTCCCCTTTGCTTTTCCCATTGCTTTTTTCAGTTGTCATTTTCTGTACTGAAGAAAGCAGCAGCATTGAACTGAACTATTCCATGCTTTAACTTAAAACAACAGCAGCCTCCTGCAACAAAAAACCCACAAACGACTGAGGGAACAACAGCTTGCTCTGCACTCAGTGTCAGTGAAGCTAGGCTATGCCATCTCTTACTGTGCTTCGCTAGGGGCCAAGGAAACTGCTCATACTTTAATATTAATGCCACTTGTTTCTAAACATTACTGAGAAAAACCCACAGTGCATCACTGCAGAATTATAATTCGCTACATTCAGTTGTGCATCTTAACTCAGGGATCACAGATACACTCAAAAAGACTGCATGCACTAAAATTCTTATTGTACTTGGTGTTTTTGCATTGATACCAGTATTTTCAGGTTTATTTAAACAGTTCTAAGACTCTCCATTTTTAATAAAAATGTAGCAGGGGCAGCAGCTTACCTTACTCAGAAATAGTTGTAGGTCGCTTTGGGAGAAGTCTTGGTGAAGTTCTAGAGACATAGGCTGCTCTGCAGCTTGGTGACCGGAAAACTTTGACTCTAGCCTCAGCAACACACAGTGGAGTTCTGTGGGATTGCAAGGCAAAATTATCCTTTGTATCTGCAGACATGAAAAGCACAGCTGGAATCAGCTGAGGGTTTGTTTGTCAACACAGGCAGCACTTGTCCAAGAAAAAGCAGCCAGAACTAAGCAGGGTGGCATGCAGAGTAGCTGCTTTGGGCAAGGTGAGGGAGCTGATTGAGGAAGGAAGGCACTGGGGTCACCTGAACCTTGTTTGAACTTCCCTGCCCAGAGCTCCCCTGGCAGCCCCCAGCCAGCCCACCTGGGCCTCCGAGCTCTGCTGATGTCAGGCACAAAGCCAACTTCTGGTGCATCCTCTCCTAGAGAGGAGATCAGTTCTGAAAATGAGATCTTGAGTTGTGGGTCTGAATAGGTGACCTTCCAGTTCTGGGGCCTGCATAACGCTTTGTACCTTGAGTTTCTGCTTCCTTCCCTCTTCCCTAGAAGTTCACTTAAATACTATTGTCTGATTCTGTTCTTCAAAGCTGAAAGCTGAAGCAGCACCCTTGTATTTGGAGTTAGCTAATGCATGCTGTTTGGGCTGCTGATTACTAACTCCTAATTAACACAGAGAATGAGGGCATAATCTTAATGGAAACAATCCACTGGAATATTGCATATGAAATTTCATTCCAAGCTGTAGCAATAGGGCAGAACAATAGGATGGGAGAATTGGCATGATAGAAAGGTGCTATAAGAGAAGGGAAAAAAAATTGCTTACCCATATCTGAAGGCTCCAGGTCCACAGGGGAAAGCTTCACCAGGAAGAGACCTCTAGAGAGAAATCCTACCCCAGCAGGGGTCAGCCCTTCAGTGGGGTCTAAAAGAGGTGCAGCCAGGCTCCACCCCTTCTGGTCACACAGCTGAATTGCCTTCACCTGTGCTCTCAGGGCTGACCGTCCTTTCCCCAGGTACTCCATCAGTGGGTCAGGCTGGGACTCAGCAGTTCCCATACACAAGCATTACACAGTAATTCATCATAGCAGCAGCGGTGCTTTAATGTAAAGCATTACTTAGTCGTGTAAATACAGTACTTACCAGTGGATTTTGATGGTAAGTTTTATGAAAAGTATAAAATCACATTTCTCCCCTTCTTATTAAATCTTCCACTTCTTCAGAGGAGAGATCTGGATGTTAGAGGAAACCCTCCGTTTATTTTTTATTTGATGTGTTACTGTTTTGTTTTTTTTATGTGACGTTGCTGTTTAGAGGAATCTCAGCAATCTGTAAGGGCAGACTTAAAGCCAGTCCGCCCGGCACAGAAAGGCCCAGAGCGCTCACCTCAGCCCACCAGAGGGAAGGAGGACACGAAGAAGAGAGCGCCTGCAAAACGTGCAGAAAGTGCAGCACAGAAAGCTGTGCCAGAAGGACACGTAAGTTTAAAACAACCAGCAATGCCTTCTGCCCCCGAAACAGAAACTAGAATGACAGAAAATAGTGTTACGTTTATAATCATGGTTTTTATTATCGTGATGCATTTCTTTTAACCAGCATGCTGTTTGTGGTATTTAGCACTTTGATTTGCATGGAGTTCAGATCAGCACTCCGTTCTTAAGAGTAGAATTCTAGAACTTAGCATTCAGCCTTTAACCTTGTGATAAGTTCTTAGTAAGACAGCTGTGGCTTGAAGTTCTCGCTTGGCTTCTGAAAACAAGCAACTAAGTTGAGAGGCAAAGTTGATATAAAGGCTTTTATTTCATGAATACATAACTTAATTTTGTTATGTGTATTATTTCCAAATGTACTTCAAAAACATCCAGAATGCACCAGAACTTGACGAGCAGCAGCTGAGACAACGGGAGGAGTATCTTAAGAAAAAACGAGATATGCTGGTAGCTGCAAAGAAAGAGTCAAGAAATAATATAATACCACCCACAAACAGGGACCAGAAGGAGGAGGAACCATCTCCTAAAGAGGTAAAGGGTTTGAATACTTAAAATCATCCTGATGGCTTTATAACAGGCAGGCAGTTTCAGTGAAGGCGTGGCTGAGTGTGGTGGCAGTATTAAAGGAGCAAGTGGTGGGAGTAGTGGAACTATTGTCAGGTCACTGGTTTTGCAGAAGAGTACAGGCTAAAAGTGTTAATGATTAGTTAGCATTTTAGCATTTAGCATAGAAGTTAGCATTTCACCTCTGTATTGACAAATCCTCTTGATTAAGTTTATGAACTGTTAGAGTGCTGGCTTTCTTTGGCTTTCTTTTAATCCTTTGACCAACCTTTTTTTCGGGGGGGGGCTTCCTTAAATCCCTGTTTTTGTTTTTTTTTTTCCATCTAAGACAGGGAAAAAATATTTTGCAAAGTCCAATTTTACATAGAAAAGCTTGCTTAGTTTTCTTGATCTCAGGGGGTTTTGCTCCTTTTTCAAATAAATAAATCCCTGGTTAACAAATCAGCCACTGGAGTAGAAGTGATGAGATAAACCAATATAGAAAGACAAGGCACTCTGAGGAATAGATGCTGCTATCATCTATTTGGTTGCCTCCAATACAAGAAGATACTTGTGGAAGAATTAGAATTATAAGAAAGGGAATGGTAAATTTGTAGAGATACAAGAGATATTCCATTCTTCATGGTGTCTTTGTCCCACATACAGTCGTGAACAGTCTCCTACCCATGTTGGTCGGTAGCTACAAACGTGTTCTCTGTTCAGCCATGTATCAAGGGCAGGGAGAGCTCTGTGGGATAGTTCTGCACCTCAGAAAGAAGATTGAATTGTGACTGTAGTAACAAGAGATCCTCATCCCATTATTCTAGTTGGTAGACACTGCAACGCAGCAGCAGTGGTTGGCATGCGGCGTGTTGCTGCTGTTTCAGCTGGTCATCCTCTCACCATCTTGGTTCCATCTGCAATAATGACTGAAGCATTTGTCACAGTCTGACTTTACAACTTGGACAGTCAGCAGATCTCTCTTACAGAGGGCTTTGTCCTTGCATGTGTAGTGCAAGGAGATGAAACCTGTGATGGTAACAGCAAGTGCTCAGTGCAAGGAAAGTCAGTGAAAACAACAGAACCACTCTTGTATCAAATCCTGTTTCCTTAAGGCACAGTAGGAAAAAAAAAAAAAAAGAAAAAAAAGGCTTCTGCTGCTTTTCAATCTGTTAGGCAAATGGCATGTATAAAACACCCAGTATTCTGGGCAGGGCAGGGAGATGAACTCAAGGACTGACTGTCAGTCAGTGAATTAACCGATACGCTCCTTAGCATGCAGGAGGTGCTGCGATCACAGAAATCCTTGTGATAGAAAATCACATCTGGGAAAAACAGTCAGCTGCACCAAGGAAAGCAGGCACAGCCATAAAGACTGGCATCCTATGGCAGGATAAAGCAGTCAGTGTAGGTCAGACTTCAGGAGAAAAGAGCCTTCTGCTAACCATTATTATGGTAATATGATGTGTTTGTTACAAATAACAGGTCTGATAAACATTTATGTGAAAAGAAATGATTAAACTCTCAATGTGGATAAGGGGGATAGTAGAAAACCTTAGAAAAGAACGCTATCAAAAAGCAGATCGCTGCTCCTTAGCAAAGAGAACCCACTTAAGATAAGAAACTTTGTTGTCTCACGAGTGCTTTGTAATTGCTGAGCATTTTAATGTGCTCAGGATGTGCCCTTGGCGTGGATGGGTGAACTCCTGAGCAGCACCAGTAAAGTGAAGACACTGCTTGACCCACTTCCCAAGAAATGAAGAAACTTTTTGCATCATTTTGGGTTGCAGGCGAGTTTGAAGGGGTGGGCATGCAGCATCAGGTTTGAAAGTGATGCTCTTTGGCTGCTCCTTGTTAGGAAAAAAGGTCTCTGCCAGCACTGCCTGCCGTGGCTCACCTGCCTGAGTAGCAGTTAGCATTAGAAGCTGCAGTACGCATTAGGAAGTCGTGCAGTTTATTTATTGCAGTGTTTTTTTTTCCCCCCATTTTGTTTGTAGGAAGTTTCAGAAGAGAAGCAAAAACTACTGCAGAAGAGGAAAGTGCTCGCAGAAAAACTAAAAGAAGAAGTTATTAATAAGCGGTAATTGTGAGAAGCTCATTGCAGACCTCAAGAACATAGGCGTCTTTAGAATAAATTATGACCAATAATGGAACGGGTTTGTTTTCAAGTATCTCACACTTGTTTTTATAGAGCTTTCGGACAACTCATTCTGTACTTTGTATAAAATATTTGAAGTTGTGCTGAAATGCATTGGAAACGGATTTTCCAGAATGCTGGAAGCTCACGGATTTTCACTGGAATGTGCTCAGCACTGAGGCAGTTTCACAGCCTCACCCACTCAAATGTGCAACAAATATTCATCTGTTAAAATAATAGCTAAAAAATGTGAACGAACAGATTTGATTAACCTTAACTTTTTCTAAAGATTATAGAACTTGGTTCATTAGAATATCAGAAATAAACTACTATTTCAGGCTGTAATGAGTCTGAATTCACATGGAAGTGCTAATGTGACCATCTTGTACTTGAAGGAGCAGCTCATGCAGCATGAAGTGAGGAGAGCTGGAGGTGACGCTGCTGTACACACCTTCCAGGCAGCTCACCCATACCTTAGATCCAAGTTTGTTATGAATAATTTAAAGAACAAAGCGAAAGTAAGAACCAGGAACATCACCAGAGCAATTTGGTTCCAAAGTCAAGTCTTTAAACAAATCATTTACTGGTTTGCCTTTGGCAGACTTAAAATGAAGCAGGGGAAGAGGGTGTCCTTAGCACACTGTTGACTGTAACTCTAACTTACGTTAAAAGAAACGGCCCAGCCACTTCAAGTTCGTGTAGCTTTTTATTAAAATAGCATTTATAACTGATACATGTTGGCAGATGTTCTTTACTTTTCCAAAAGGAGTGGTAGTGGAAGGGCCCCGGCAGGATCCGTGCAGGGGAAGCAGCTGTGGGCGACCCCTGGGGGCCGAGATGCGGGGTGACAGCCCCAGCCGTGAGCTGCTCCGTGTGCTGCCTGCTGCTTTCTATAGGAACCTGGAGAGGAATGCGAGCAGCACAGCTTAATGCCCTTTGTACAGTTTTTTAGTAGCTGTAAAAGTTGGTGATGTTTTTGCTGTTGGAGAAAGACTCGTGTTGGTCTGAAGCATTTTTTAAGCTCCTGACAGCACTTGAGGAGAGAGCTGACGTGGTGAGGAGCACTGAGCGAGCACTGAAACGCTTCAGTCAGAGCCTGAGGAGCTGCCTTGGGTAGCTGTTCAAAGAGCATCAGGACAGCCTGGGTCCACGGGCCAGGTAACAGTTTTTCAGCCTTAGGTTAGTAAAGGCACACGGTGCAACTGCTGCTTGAGTAGCACTGGAGGTGGTTTATCATCTTTACTGATGGAGAAAAGACTCGAGAAGAAAAAGAGACGGCGGTCAGCAGGAGAGCAAACACGCAGCAGCAGTACTGCAGGCAGCTCTGCTTGGAGCAGTGAGGGAAATTCAGATCCTCCACGTCCAGAGCTGAGGGCTCAGCACCGCCATCCCCAGGTCCACACGAGTGCCATCCAGCTGCACCTGGCTCAGAGGTGGGAAGAGCTCGTGTCCCCATGCAGCAGTCACTAACACAACAGCACAACAGCTATTCTTAACGAGTGTTGGAAGATGACCGCACTTAAAATCCTGAGTGAACTTACCGTGTACAACAAACCAAACAAAAGCAGTAATTATGGAATTACAGGGTCACATTTTAATTCCTGAATTGTACAGTTCAGCATTAATATCACCACGTGTATACAAATGGTGTAAAACAAGTACAGTGGTATTTTTAATACAAAATAAACTTCTGTTTTATGGAAAAACTATACTTCATATCTACACAGACAGCCCATCTTTTTCCAAACGATAGCTAAAATTAAAATTAACTACAAAATCTCCAAAACAGAGAAACTGCTTCAGTTCAGACTATTCCAGGAGAAATGGACCCATAACACATTACAAGAGTGATCTACGTGGTGGACTGCAGCTGGGTTCGTAGCTCATTCTTTTTTTTAAACATTTCTGACATCACGTGCTGGGAAGTTTCCTCTCCCTTCTTCGTGATCTCAGAACACATATGGGCAAACTAACATTAAAATATTTACAGTTCGCTTCCTGTTCTTGAAATAAAACCCTGGACCTGGCCTCTCTCAGCTCACCTAGCTTGGCTGCGCTTCATTTACCTACGTGGAATGTACTTTTGTCTTCTATCTTTAAAAAGCAGCTTTCGTCTCGCACCCAGATCGAGGTGCTGCCTGCTGATTCCGCCCCAAAGAACTTCTGCTCCTAGAATTCCACCTTGGTCCACACAGACTTTGCTGTTAAACGCCACTAAACCCTAAAAAAAACCCGTTAGTGTTTCTTAATACCACCTCAGCTACGCAATTTCAAGTTGCAAACAGGGAGATCTGCTCTGAGAAGCTGCAGCTCGTTTCAACCAAGCACAAAATGATTCCGATTCCGCGTCCTCCACAGCGTGAAGCCCACAGCTGTGCGCGTGCTGTGAGCACAGCAGTCCCTGCAGATGTTTGGGAAGCAGTCAGTCCTTGGCTTAGTTATTACTGGATATCTAATGGGGGGCTGGGGGGAACAAAAAGAAAAACAACAACCAACCAAGCAGAACCATCTATTCTGCATCCAGCTTCCGTTTTATCCTCTTGGAAAATAGAAATTGAAACTGAATTTCAATCGTTTAAAAAAACCAAAACCAAACCAACTCAGCATGCACTAAAAATGCAGTGTCCCTCCCTCCGACCGCGAGAAGTTTCATCTGTAATAAATGGTCCCAGAAATCTAGATTGTTCTTATGCAAATACAGTTAGTTTTCCCTTATGATTTTTTTTTTTAATTTTTTCAGTTTTTTTCTTAAAGAGGCATTGCTAAAAGAACACAATGTGACAGCACCATTACAAAATTAAGATTACCGGGTTCAAAATTTAAGCTTGATTTGTTTTTCCTAGTTCTGTTAAACACTGGGGAAACCCTGCAATAGTTTTTTTTTTTAGAAATCGTTCCCTTCCCCCCCACGCCCTCCCAACACCTGAGACTTTCCTTGCTGAGAAGCCATCATCCAGGTTCTGTGAATACCAACCCACTTCTTTTTTCTTTTTTTTTCTTTTTTTTTTTTCTTGACAGCCTGAATGGCAGACTCCTTACTTACTAGAAAGACATTCAGTTCCTTGGAAGCCTTGTGTTTACAGAACTAACCCTTTCTAGCTCACAGACCGAGTTTCTTTTGCTACTCCTTGCGTTATCTCATGTACTCGTGGGAGAAAGCTTTCTCAATCAGATTCTTTTTAGCTCTTAAAACAGTTGCAGCATTTGAAACCCCGTAATAAAAAGTTTTTATTCCAAAGGTTTGGTTTCCTTTATGAACCCAGACGAGATCTTTTCCTTGGAGACGTCTCTTCCTCTTCGTCGTCGTCTTCATCGTCAGGATAATCCACCAGGCCAACTAGACTTCCCTGCCAAGCCAAAGAAAAAGAACAAATCTCACACTGAAAAAGCACCCAGCGGAGTGACATTTTTAAGCATGCCTCCCCCAAAGCTCATCCAGGACACACGAGCCTGCAGAACACCAGGCTTTTCTTAGGATGGCGCTCAGATCTACCCGTGCTTTACAACTTTCTGTGAAGTTCAGTAATTCTCCTCTAAGGAGTTACAAACGCTGAGTGCTATTTGCAAGCTGGGGATTGCCTATCTCCTTGGTGATGCCTTTTCCATTCACAGACCCATTTGTCTTCAGAGTGTCTTTCAATCTCAAGGGCAAAAGAAAATACTGAAGCATCCCTGCTCCTCTGCATCCGGCCTCGGAATTATTTCAGGTCTCTGTAAGCTCAAACCGTTGCTGCAAAACCTAACGTGTACACGCACATCTTCCTGGTAAGGCTCAGCAGTGTGCAATAAACATTTTAGCACACTCATCTCCAACCTCTCCTGAGCTTTCAGGCTGACAATGAAAACTAAGCACAGACAAGACATACCAGGTGCATCAGCTAACTTCCGAATTTCATCTGCTTAAAAGCACTGGGGCTCTTGACAGTGCAGCCCACTGACGTAATACAGGGGGAAAAAGTAAGTCACCCACACAAAGCAGGAATGGACTTGGAAAAGCTGAGGGCTGGGAGCAGCGGAGTTAGGCAAAAGATGAGATGACAGCCCAGTGCATGAGCAGCAGGTTCCCATCCCCACTCACTACTTCCAACCTTCCCCAAAGCAGCAGGCAGCAGACAAATGCACACTGCAGTAAGGCACCACCCAGAGACCAGTGCCGACCTGCAGCTCCGCTGCCCTGCGTGAGGGCAGCTGCTTTCACACACATCTCCCACCTTTGTGGCTGTCACTGCTGTGGTCAGGGTGGCGTTCTTGGAAGAGGAGCCATTGGAGCTTGCTGGTGATGTCTGAGCTGCCACAGATTTGCTGTTTGCACCGTTTGCACCATTGGCTGCGCTGGCTGAGTGGGAAAAAGTGAACTTGAATCCCCCAGCTGAAGTCCTTTTGGGAAGATTCTCTTTATCTTCACTTTCCTTAGCTGAGGGACAGAATTTTCACGCGTAAGTATCAGCCGTACCCCACGCAGCACAGTCCACATCACTGCATCATGGGGCAGAAGCAGCCTCTTTCTAAAATTCTGGTTTAAATGAGCAGCTTGCTCGCTGACCTCACACAAACAAAGTGTGCCAGCACTACAAGTGAGAACGGCACCGCTTTGGCACAGGGGTGCTCACCCAGCACACACACAGAGACATTTGGTTTTGGATGCCAGTTAAAGCAGGTGCACGTGTGGAGCAATCGTGCTTGTTTTAATCCTCACCTGCCTCGCAAAGACACACCGGCAGTTCATCCCTCACTGTGGAACACCTTTCCTCCTGCTTGTGACTCAAACCCCAGGTGTGAGCACACAACACTCTGCGTGTCTTGCACAGAGTAAATATGGTGGCAATGAGATGAAATACCTTTTTTAGTTTCCATAAACTTTTCGTAGCTGTCTGGAAAATCATCCTCTGGTTTAGACTTCTCAACTGGAGGTACAACAGCTTCACCTTCCTCCTCTTCATCTTCATTGAACCACATTTCTTCATCCTCCTCTAAGGCTCTTGCATCTCTGCGAAATCTATTGCTACGCAATATAGA